TCCAAAGCCAGTCCGGATGCAAACTACGGCCCCGGCCTTGGTCGGGAGAAGTGCGGGGGATCCAGGCGGTGGTGGGGGATGGGGGCAGGGGTGGGTGGGAGCTGCAGGGGAGGCATGGGGAGGGCTTGGAGGAGGGCCACCTTCTGCAGTTGTCACCGCGTCAACGCTGGGCAGCTGCCAGGGCACCCCGCCCCCCCCTTCCAGGCAACTTCTTCCAACAGCCCTTTCTGAGGGACCCCAACTCTCCTCTCTCACGCCTCGCCCGTCCAGCGGGGCACAAAGAAATCTCAGTCTTTCCCTAAACTTTGTGCTTTCAGTTATGCCGCCCCCTCCCCTCATCCCCAACCCCCGCCCTCCCAGCTTCTTGGCAGGAAGGTTAGGCCACTGGCAAAGTCCTCGGCGAGAGCCAGATGATCACAAATGCCAACTGTGTGTCTTGGGGCCAGTTAAGTCCGCTCATCTGCCCAGGCTCTCAGAAGACCATTTCTTTGCTCTCAAGGCTCTCAGGAGACCGCTGCGGACACGGACCGTCCCGCTCTGGGCCCGCGTGGATGAGGTGCTGAGTCGCATCCTCAACGTGTTCTGTCACCCAGTTTCCATTTTAAATTGTGAAATATTCAAATTTGGAGACAAGCAGATATTTTTCTCATCTTGAAAAGGAGTAGCGAGCGTTAGCTAGCTGATTAGCCGTAGGTGGAAAACGAACCATCTGTAATAAAAAAATACTAACTTTTTGAGAAAGTCCGGGGAAGTTCTGTAGTCCCACCCTGCCCCGTGACCTTCATTCTCTGAGTCTTCTGCCACAGGGAAGCACCGATCGACTAATAAAAGATTTGATCTTGCTATAATTTCCCAAGCAGGTAAGACCCAGTAACTATTTCATGGTTCTTTAGCTTCTAAAGTTTTGTTTTATTCTTATTCAATTATTGTATCTGTAGTATGTCGGAAACTGCAAGCCAAAAGGAGAACAAATTTTGAGGTGATTTGCTTAGTTATTATTTTGGCCAAGTTAAACTCTATGAGGTTAGCTCATTTTCTTAGTTTCATATATGGTAAGTATTAAATATATTCTCCCACGTGGGTTGGAAGGAGCTTCTGTCCAAGTGCAGTGGGACTGGCTGCTTTATGTAATCAGTATTTACTAATAAACTCCACTGCACTTAACATAAGTCCCCCAGATACTGCTGACTTTTCCCCCAGGAGGTTGTGAAATGGACCGTTCTGATCTGAAATTGTGTCCCCCTTTGTTTGGTTGACTATTATTTGTATAAACCACACCAAACTGGATACTCTAAAAGGGTCTGGGGTCAGCACAGAGCCTGGGCTGATTGAGCATAATGCAGGATGCTCAGTGTGTAAGAGGCACTGTAATCAGTGTCATTTATAACCCCAACAGGACATCTTCTGGAAGGTGTAAAGAGTTGCCTTGTGAACGTTATGGCCAAGAGAATCTTAATGCAAAGCTGAAGACCAATTGTGAATTTTATTACATTACCATTAGTACTATTACCATAGGAGGTTGTAAGAATACATAGTCCTCTGCAGTGGAAAATGCACTAAATGACAGTCCCTCCTGTGAAGAACCAACAAATTAAGGCTGAAAGTACCATGAAAAGCAGGGCCATTTATGTTTGTGTTGTGGAATAAATAAGCAGACAGAGAACTACAGATTTTTACCTCCTTCATTTTCAATTCATTACAGTTAAATTGGTGTGCTTAGAATCAGATGTATTGTACATTATGGTTTCTAAAGATCTTTTTACAGAACTGGCTGAATTTTTATGTCACCCAAAAGGAATGCCCATTGAAATTAAAATATCATAACTGTTTCTTTTGGCGTTTGAAATGGTTAAATATGCAACGCAAAAGAAAAACAAATAAATCTCAGCTAAATTTTAGTTTAAAAGCTAAAAGGAGCAAAAGTCAGAGAATTCAAGGCAAGATTGATAAAATAACCAGAATGCATTATTATAGATATGTTTATCTAAATTTATAAATATATATTATATAGTCAATATGAATTAAAATAATGAATACTATTAAATTTTATATTTTCTCATTATTTTTAATGAGAATATTAATGATATTTAAGGTTCAGTTTTTCTTTTTTCTAGTTTAACTAACCAAGGTTATAAAATAAAAAGACAGAAAAACCTATAAGCAATTATCTCTGTCCAAATGGATATAGCAGCCCCAAACCACAGCTACATGACTATCAAACAATGATTATGAAAACCACAATTGAGAAAAGCATCAGGGAATGATATTGCAAAACCACAGCAACAAATGTGTCTGTGATATTGAAAACCACAATTCACAACTAATACCCTGTATGTTGCAAATTACAATTTAACTATAAATGTGCAAATGTATAAATAAAAACACAAAATAATTTCTCATTTGCTTAAAAATAAATTATTCATTTCTAGGCTCACCAATTTGATGTCTACATAATGGTTTGTTTAGAAAAGTTTCTGCTTTAAGAAACATCATTTTAAATTACATGTAAAATGCCAGTTACTTTAAAAATAGGAAACATGCAACTTGTAATAATATTTTCTAAAATGTTAAAAATAAAAAAGATCTGAAATCAATCTGAAACAAACATCTACTTCAGTCTAGCTTTTTTCATAAAGTTCTTTGGAAGTAAAAAGGTATGTGAATAGAAACTGTTTACAGAATAAAACTCAAAGTATTGTGTTACAACTTTAATGAGAATAAAATTGTATATACAGTAGTACCCTTCTATACCCAGAGCTTATGTTCCAAAGCCCTCAGTAAATGCCTGAAACTATGGATAGTACCAAACCCTATATATACTGCTTTTTCCTATACAAAATATCTATGATAAAGTTTAACTTCTATAGTAGGCACAGTAAGAGATAAACAACAACTAAAAATAGAACAGTCATAATATATTGTAATAAAAGTAATATGAATGTGGTCTCCTCTTTCTATTTCTCTCTCTCAAAATATCTTATTGTACTGTAGTCACCTGTTTTGGGGCCTCAGGTAACTAACACCACAGATAAGGGGGGGACTACTGTATTCTTAAATAGTCATTTTAGCTAGAAAACATACATAGGAAAATAAAATAAGATGCCAGTACCCTAGCTATATTAATATGCAAAACCAAGTGCTTGTTTACAACTGAATGAAATGATATTAGTTGCAAGTTTATAGGAGTACCAGATTTTGCAAATTAAAATACAAGATGTCTATTTAAATATAAACAATAAGTTTTCAGGGCAAGTATGTTCTGTGCAATATTTGGTACATATTTATCCTAAAAAATAATTGTGGCATATCAAATTCAAATTTAACTGAGCATCCTGTATTTTATCTGGCAAACCTACAAATTTAGCATTTTCACAAATTTATGGTGGTTTATAATATTGTTTCCAGGAAAGGCAGAGAAACTCTAAAGTGCTTCCTACAGATATAAATACATTTAATTCTTGACTATAATATTATTTAGGGAAAGCAAGGTAGAAGGAATAAATTTGTCTACAAAAATTCTTACTTTGTTTGGCACAGTTTAGAAATGCACTCAGTGTAAATGGATTGCATTCATGTATGTCTTACTCTTGGATTTGTTTTTAAAATGTGTTCTTTCCTCCAAGGGATCAACAAATTGATAAAGCAACCTCCCAGGCCACATCTTATTAGGCAGCAAGCTGCCTTCTTTATTATGGGAGTAAACAATTTTCAAAAGCTTCAGAAAGACTTAATTTTTTGCCCTTGTATCCTCACCAGAAATTGAATACAGTTTATCTGCCTTGATTTAAGATTGTGACACCGAATTGGACAAGAATGCAGTATGAAAATAGTGTTTAGTATTTGTGTATCTTTATAATTTCAGCAGTTTAAAAATAAAAATCAACAAATTCATCTAAATGGCATTTCTATTTTATAACTGTGAAAAAGACTATCTGTTTACTTGCAAAGGAGCTAAGGGCTTTGAAAACATTCAGTCAGTCTAGATCGGGGGTTTAACTTGAGCTTCACTGAGACCATCAATCCCTTGAAAGAAACTGGTATGTACAAATAATTTTCTAAGGAGTGGGTAATTGAATTCATCATATTTTCAAAAATATGTGAAAAAAATATGTGAATCAATCTGGGTTTAGAATCGCTGCTCTGTTTATATGTAAATGTTTATGATATACTAAAAAATTGAAACGTGGATGATTTAAGTTTTACTCTTTGCACCCATTTCTTTATGTCCAAATTACTACTCCTATAAAAGTTTATCTAATAGGATAAACTCTCTTTTTAAATAGTTCTTTGCTACTAAGTTTTAATGATGCACAAAATACCTGTGGGTAGAAGAAAAATATTTAAAAAGTAACCACCAAAATATTAATACACATATGTTGATTTTGTCTGCCTAACATTCATTCTCTCTTCTTCTGGTAATAATGCCTTGAAAACGTTTGAAGAATTACTCCTCCCACTCTCTGATCACGTGACACAAGTGTGGCCTTCCCCAGTCCCTGACCAAGTAAAATATTCCACATGTCTGTCTACAGTGATTGGCTCTATGGTCCAAATTGTTCCTAAAAAGTCAGTCCTGGAACTTTTTTCGAAAACCACTGAAGAAGATGTGCTGTTTTTCTGCTAAGATTGCTACAGTGGGAGAAGGCAAACCTGAAATTGCTAGTGGCCATCCTTGTGGTAAGAATTTGCTAAAGGCAATGTTAACACAGAGAATGCTTTTGTCTTACCTTGTCTCAGAGTGTAATGGGGGGGAGGAATCTAAACCAAAAACACTCATCAACATTTCAACATTACTTTGGTTTAAATCTATCAACATTATACATATGTCTATATAAATGTTAGAATCTTGGTCATTTCTGTTACATTTTATCTTCATCTACTTGACCAGGCTAACCCCGAAGCCTCTTTGTGGAATTAGTGTAAATATTTTTCACAGGAAAACATCACTAACCTCCCAGGTCTGAGTGAGATACCTCTTCTCAGCTGCTTCTATAACATCT